TGTTTTAATATTATAATTTTTGCACAAATTTCAATGGATCATTTGTGCTACTGAATTGTGCCGCAATTTATAATCAGTCTGTGTGTTGTTGTTGTTGTTGTTATTATTATTATTATTATACAATTGTATCACAGCGGCCAGTTGTTTCGCCAGATTTGGCATTGGTTACTAGTCGGGCCCCACCCAGGGGCCTAGGACGTCGTAACGTATTTTTGTAATATGCGTGCATATTAATTATTATTATTATTAATATTATTATTTCAATTCAAGAAATTCAACAGGAAATCAGTTTGAGCCTTTGTTTTTCTCATGCTGCCTACCTTCCAGTCTGTTGAGTTATTGCCTCTTACCTCTTAGCTCCTGTTGCCACAGCGTCTGGTCCAAACTTCTCTCTGGCTGATCTGGAGAGTCCCAGTTACTACAACATCAATCAAGTGGCTCTTGGGAGACGGTCAATAACATCTCCACCTTCTAGTAGGTAGGTCTCCTACAATCTTTTTGTAGTGCAGAAATCTTTTGAGTTCTTTGAAAGACTCTTCAAACCAAACGACATTTCTTGTAGTAATTAGCCCCAACTGTGTGTAAGGGAGGGGAGTAAGTACTTAGCCCTGTATTTCGTTACATCATTGCTTATGATCTCTGCATCTGGGTTATGTTTTCACTGCAGTTCCACCAAAAGGCCTAAGTCACTGGATGACAGCGAAATGGAGAGTCCGGTAGACGATGTGTTTTATCCTGGGACGGGACGCTCCCCGGCAGCTGGCAGCAGCCAATCCAGTGGTTGGCCCAATGATGTGGATGCAGGTAAGAGGCAACAGTCTTTCCTCATCAGTTAACCTATATTGAGATGGGGAACGAAAGCAGGAGGACTAGTCTGATCTTTGCCATTTATTTACCATCTCCATTAGACCTGCGCAGATTTCATCCACAATTGTCCTTCCAATACAGCAACCGTATTTTCTAATTCAATGTTTCTCAACCTTAGCAACTTGAAGCTGTCCGGACTTCAACTCCCAGAATACCCCAGCCAGCGAATGCTGGCTGGGGTATTCTGGGAGTTAAAGTCCGGACATCTTCAAGTTGCCAAGGTTGAGAAACACTGTTCTAATTAATGCTTTGTTAAGAAGGTATAGGACAAGTGACAATTATGTTTGTTTCAGGTGAGTTCTGTTTGGATTCTACAAATTGGAAGTTGTTTAGGGAATGGTTCAAACAAGTTGGTACATGGTTGCTTACAACGAATACGAAACACAGCCCTTTAACAGACACGTACCCAAATACAGATGAAGTCTCAGTTTAAAATGGGGTTACAAATTGAAAGTTAAGCCTACACAGAGCACATGGACGAAGATGCCTCGTAAGGGAAGGGGGGGGATAACTCTCAGCCCAGTATGGATGAGATCTGAAACCAATGGAGTTCCATACATATCTCTCTAATACTAGCAAAAAAACACTAGGTATGCAATAATATATGAAGCTCCCCAGCATGAGACCCAGTGAAATAAGGTGCTCTGAAATACTACATAAGCCTAATGGAACCAGTAGTAAATTGTACACATTGAATAAAATCTGTGTAGACTTCAAAAGACTGTGATACAACTATGCTACGGTCCTGGGTAGTTTTGCAGAATGAAATATCTATATAGCTACCTCAAAAATATTAGCTTGTGAGTGTGAATGAGAGCATATTGGCATGTATAAGTTGAATATATGCATGACCAAATCGGTTCCACCACAAATGCGCGAACGACAAAAGCGCGTGTGACTAAACCGCGGTGACAAAACCGCACCGTCAAAACCACGGAGACGAATGAGTGCTGAAGCGCGCCGACAACAGCGCGCCGACAGAAGCGCGCAGTAACATAACCCTAAACCTAACCCTAAACCTAACCCTAAACCTAACCCTAAACCTAACCCTAAACCTAACCCTAAACCTAACCCTAAACCTAAC